TCGCTGGTGCCGCTCCTAACTGTCCTGAGACCTTCCGCGGCTGGCCGGGATTACCTTTGAGTTCTTGCCCTTGGAGTCGCCGAAGATCCTGTTCCGAGAACCCGGCCCAGCCCCCCGCCATTGCAGCTCCTGAGACGCGACAACCCCCCCCTCCCGGCCTGCTCCTGCTTCCGCCGCCACGTCTCCCAACCCCGCCCTTCCCGTCTGGGAAATACCGGGACTCCGCGCAGGCCTCGCGCGGCTTGCAAGGCCCCACGGGGTAACCATGGGAACCAGAACGGGGGGGGGCTAAATTACGGGCCTCTTCCTCGGGACGATGGCTGTCCTCTTTTTTGGAGCCTGCCGCTGATTAGGTGGCAGACCCCAGATGGCAGACCCTTGGCGCCTCATGCCTGCCCTCCCTCGATCCGCGGGGCAGTCTCGGCCGCTTCGTCGCCGAGAGAAAGGGAGCAGATGAAGGACCGCAGCAGCGGCTGAGCTTCCCATTACAGTACTTTCACTCCCGCCGGGCCAAGCGAGGAAGGGGTGCTGCAAAAGAGGTCCCTTTAAAAGAGCCGTGTTATCTGAGGAGCGGTGCCCGCTAGATTCTAGACGGGGCGTGGGAGTGGGGACAGTTCGGCGTTTAAGTCCCTATAACCGCCCTTTGGACTCGGCTATACTGTACATGGACTGGCAAGCAGAAGCGGAGGTGCAGTACTGTACTCCCACCTACGCTTAGCTGCCCACTCCTTCTGGGTGGCTGGCGAATCACTTAAAGATAAATAACCCTGCAACAACAGACCTCATCTTTTATGTCTTCATCCTGTTCCAGTTGTGATTTTAGAGGGAGGAAAACAGGTATTCAGTGAGAAGAATTGATCTTCTATTGCAGCTGTGAATTTCAGCCTGCCTCTGGCATTTCTGAAGCACCTTCATAATTGGCAATCAGGTACTGCCTGGGCAAACTCCATATTAACAAATCTGGAGATTAGTGTTACTATCTGGTGATTATATAGTACCAACTGCCAGCAGTCTACACAGGACTCCTCACTAACCCCACTGCTGGATTTGGTGTTACTCAGGCAATGTAGGTACTGTACAGAAGTTGCTCGCCCATAGTTAACACTTGAACAGCAGACACCACAGGAACACAAGGCTGGTGATCAGGTGGAATAGAACGGGAAGAGGGAAACCAGCAGATCCAGGTACCAGGTGTAGGGAGCAGAGGATTCAAAAGGCAGCCAGGTTCTTTGCTGCCCTGCATTTCTTACTGCTGCTCTAGACGGCTGGAATGGCTTCAAATAAAATGGTTAGAGACTCTTCCATATCCGCTTAAGTCAGAGGTGTCAAATTCAATTTCATCTTGGGCCGCATCGGCAATTGGCATTATGGTTGCCCTCAAAGGGCTGGTTGTATCTGAAAGACTATGCAAATGTATCTGCTCTTTATCATATTAAATAGTGAGGACTACATTTCCTAAGGTGTTGTATGCCGCCCAAGCAGCTGCACTTTCTGACTATTCACTGCTTGGAATGCTGGGATTGGAAGTCCCACTAGGTGGATTCCCAGCATCCTTGTAGAGCACTGGTTCTTAACCTTGGGTTACTCAGGAGTTTTGGACTGTAACTCCCAGAAACCTTCACCACCAACTGTGCTGGCTGGGGTTTCTGGGAGTTGCAGTTCAAAAACATCCAAGTAACAAAGGTTAAGAACCACTGTTGTAGAGCATTATGGTAGTCTGAGTAAGTGCCTTTGTATTGTATACTGCACAGTAGCAGGCAACACTGTGAGGGCCACATTAAATGGCTCGGTGGGCTGAATTCGGCCCATGGGTCTTGAGTTTGACACCTGGCTTAAGTGATCACACTATCTGAACCAATGGAAATGCATTTGATTAAAAAAAATGTAGAAGCCCCAGCATCAGAATATTTTACTAGAGATCAGATTGTCTTTTAATCATTCTGCCCTATTGGCATGTATACAAGATGTTCTTCCTTTTCTGCTATGATTTGAACTTTATTACAAATGTAAAAGTGTTGTGGAGTGACTACATTGAGAAACAATGTAGGAAGTTCTCCAGAATAGGGACACTCAGATTTGCATTATTTTCCAGTGACTACATGATGTAACAGTCAATGGGAATCAGACTGGAGTTTTTTCACCTAATCCAGAGGTTTTTTTCCTCCACTTCTAAGACAGCTAGGAATCTGTGGACGGAAAGGAAGAACCTTTCGGTCAGCCTTGTTCCCAGCTTGTTAAGGTACCTCTGCTCTGGCCACGCAGATTTAAAAGAAGGGGAAGGGGAGAAACAGAACAGGAAGGCAGGAGGGAAACAAGCACCCATCAGGTATGGGGAGGAGATGATTCAAATGGACAGCTCAGTGACCAAAGTTTTTTTTTAAAGAGCAAGGAATTTGCAGAGAAACAGGATGAAGTTTTCAGTCAGCCTTGTTTCCAGCTTGTTAAGGTAGCTCTGCTCTGGCCATCCAAATTTGCAGGAGGTACAGTTATAGCAGAGATACTTTATCAAGCTGGAAAAAAGGTTGAGAAGATTCCTACTCTTTTATTTCCTCGTTGGTCACTTCCATCACCATCTTAGAACGGCAAATCTGGAAGCGACCCTGTTGGTCGTGAAGTCCAGCTCTTGTCAAGGAGGCATGGTGGGGAATTGAACTGCCAAACTCTGACTCTGCAGCCAAATACCTAACCCACTGACTTATCCAGCACTTCACCTAGCACTTTCACAGCAAGCTTTTTGGAAAGGAGGGGGGATGGGAGGGTAAAATAAGCTGGTACCAGACTTGGGAGGATAGGGTAGGGAAGCTGCAGCGGCCATCTTTGCAAAGGGCAGCCTGGATTCCCTTAGCCTGCCTGAGGTGGTGTGGCAGGGGGTGGGATGGTCAGGTTTTTTAGTAACCCCCCACAAATCAACAAATTAATTCATGCTTTGTCAGTTCATGGGGGCAGCTTCGTGGTTCGTGAGTTGTCAACTTTTGACGACTCACGAAGCAGGCCGACTCGCCAAAATGGTGAGTTATCCACATCTCTAGTTGAAAAGTTTGGTAATCCAATGCAGAGGCATCATCCAAGTCTTCAGTCTGCTTGGAGGTCTGTAACAGCCCCTCCTAGTCTCATCATTGCTGTATCGTGCTCCTTTGAATTTTATGCAGTTGATCATAGTCTTCCATGATCTTAGTCATGGGTCTCTTCACAGGTGTACATATAGTTTACGTATAGTTTTATCCTCCGTCCTTTCTGTTTAATTTAGTCCTTTTTATTAAGTTCTACTTTTCAATTATTACATTTCAGTGATGTCTCCTATTCTACCAAATTTCAGTAATACTTATTAAATCATATTTGCCTTCCTGTGCTTAGAGTTCAACCTCATCTTTGTTTCTCATGCTCATTAGTATAAAGATGTTTCAAACCTTGGTTTATTTGCTCCAACTGCTTCCTTACTGTCCTTTCCTATCCATTGGTGGATTTCTCTTCCATTATCCCAGCTGTTGCTCTTGCTCTACCGTGGACCCTTGACCTATGGAATTAATCCGTATTGGAACGGTGGCCGCAGGTCGAAAAGTCTGTAGGTCGAGGGTCCATTTCCCATAAGAATGCACTGAAAATCCTGTAATCCATAACCGGCCCAAAACCCCCCCATTAAAATAAAGACACCTTACCTTTCCGAAGCCTTCCAGGGGTCCCCCACTGCCGCCATCGCAGCTGCCTGAGGCCTCCGAGGACTTCCCTGCCACTGCCGGAAGCCTCTCGGAGGTCCCCTGCCCCCACCGACGCAGGCTTTCCCAGGTGGACCGGGCTTACCAGGGGAGGGCTTCTCCCGGTAGGCCCGGTCTACTGCCTGGGAAAGCCTGGTACACGGGGCCTACCAGGGAAGGGCTTCCCCCGGTAGGCCCGGTCCACCCTGGGAAAGCCTGCGTCATTGGGGGGGGGGACCTCTGGATGCCTTCCGCGCCACCATGTGAGGCATCTCAGAAGTTCCCCTACCGCCAATAGTGCCTCCGAAGCACGATCGGCGTTGGGGGGGGGGACCTCCAAGAGGCCTCCCATAGCGGTGGAGAAGCCCTGGAAGGCATCCGGAGGCACATTCGACGGCCTACAGACTGGTAGGGGGAGGCGGGGAAAGCGCCAAATTTGAATTTGCCGCTTTCCCTGCCTCCCTCTTCTGGTCTGTAGGTCAATTCTCCGGCCGCAAGTCGATTGGAAATCTTGTGGCTGGAGAAGTCCGTACCTCAAAAAGTACACACATCGAGCTGTGCGTACGTCGAGGGTCTGATGTATCTGGAACAATTTCTCTCTAGCAGAATTTAGTTTAAAGCCTCTCCACATGGTAGCAAAGCCCATGGTCCAAGAAGGTCCAAAAAGCAAAATCTTTCTTAATGATACCATCCACATATCCAAATTTTCACTGTTTGTGTTCAAGAAGGAATGATATCCCCCAAGGACCTTCATCTGCCCACTCAAAGTCTAAAAGTCATTTTCAACATGTTGATGGCTGTGTGTGGCAGCATCATTTATTGTAATGTGATTTAGAAAGAAAGCATAATTTTCAGTGCATCTGATGAGCCTTCCTTTGTTCTCTGTCACATGCCTGTACTAGGCCAAAAGCATCCTGTCAGATCTACAGCTACTATCTCTGATCCCATCGCTAGGGGTTGCATGGCACCACCATACTTCTCCTCCCTTGAGAAGAGGCTGGAATCCTTCCATGCATAGGGATGGGAAAAAGTCAGGCCATGGACCGTGGTGCCTCAGGACCATTTTTCATGGCTTCCCAACGTTCCTAGAGTCTGCAATTCCTCCACCCCCATTTCAAAACACTTTGTTTTCATGCCCTCTGGGATGTGTGGAGGTGTTCTGCCATGTTTTGAGTTGTCCCAAGCGTCACAGTGGCCCTCATATCTGAAAAACAATTCAAAGGTTTTCTGCAGCCACTATAGGGCTCAAGAGAGCATTTATATTTAACCTGCCCTTTTTGTGTTAACAGTCATTTTTCAATTTTCAAAACTCATTGTAGTAATCATTACATTGTATAACTACTGCATTAAAGTTTAAAAAACTGAAAACCAAAATATTTAAAATAGGGGCTGCCAAAGAATTTGAAAAATGCCCATTGGTTCTGATGAGGTTCCCCATCCCTGATAAATAGCAGCCACT